TCAGTCCCACAGCTGGCTGCGGGGGGGGGAGAGACAGAAAGAGAGCGAGTTGTAGTGAGAGCTGCCACACTGCAAGAGTCACAGGAAGAAACAGGAAAGGACTGCTAGGTGCCAACAGCTCATATTCCTAGGAGAAGTGATGCCACCGGTGTGGTCTCTTATGAAAAAAGACCATGGCATTTCTGAAAGCTTTTCCCTGCATGGCAAAGTGCTGGTGCTGCTGACCCGGATCTCCAGGATGGGGTTCTGGGACTCGTGGCGAGCCGTACAATTTAGTTGGATCTGATCCGCGCAGAGGGCCAAATGTCCCTGGCACAGCTGGTCTCTGCGGGTGGTGTGGGGAGGAGAAACAAAGCCGTTTGTGCGACACAACGAAGCAACAGAGCAGCTACGTGTAAGGGGAAACTAGGACTGAAGGAACCTCACAGAAAAGCAGACAGGCTTTTTGGAGATACCATGATAAACCCGGGGGCTTTCCTATGACACGGACACAGCTCCCTACCAAAGAGTCACCCTCACTCACATCCCAGCTACATGTCCCTGCACTCAGGCCTCAATACATTTACCTCTCACCTAACTAGTTGGAAACAAGCAAGAAGATTGGAGAGGGTAGCAGTTAGCTCCAAGGAAAGGAGAAGATCACAAGAGTACAGATTCATCAGGAAGTGAGCAGAGCGAGGGGGGAACATGCTGAATTTCTTTCAAAATATTTATTAGCTCCACCTCTCCTGCTGGCTCCCACTATTTGCATCACAAGAGCTGCTTTAATCATTTTGTTCAACTTCCACCTAAAAAAAAAGTGAGTAGCTTGGATCTCGGAGGAGCAGCTGATACAGCATGCCACACGTCACTGACGCCAGACGTCACTGGTTAAATGGAAAAGACAGTAAAGGATGGGTGAGGAACAGTCCGTAGGGCAGGCAGAACAGGTGGCACTCAGAGAAGAAATGTCAGGCTAAACAGAGGTCACTACGGCAGTCCTGGGTGGCCTTGTGTTTAGTTTTGTTTACTGCTTTTATAAATACTCCAAGCACGAAGAGCAATAGCACACAGATGGCACAAAGTTACCAGGCAGCCGTAAACAATTGAGACAAAAGATGACTGTCATGTTCAGCATCATAAAACGGAGGTTAAAAGAGGGAAAGTTACTGCTTTACAGGCCTAATGGGATAACTCACCAAGGAGAGAAAAAAGGTGGGGGACAGAGCCGGCCCAGGCATGCGTAGGTTCGTGCTGGCCACGCAAAAAGTTAGAAGACCATTCCTAACTGGTGAGGCATCAATCTGGAACAGCCTCCCACTACAAAAGCAGCTACTTTTCTATCCCCAGCTACTCTTAAGATGGAATATATTCTTTCCAGTCCTCTGTTCCCCCAGAAACTTACGTGGAGACCTGGGGAGACTGAGTTGAATCTGTTTAAATCTAAGTTAAGTTCTAGAAACCATAGCTTTGGCTAAAAGGGAAAGACTCTTGTCATACAGTGGGGCATTCTACAGGAGACAGTTTTATTCTCTTTTACCTCCTTCCATGTGCCTGACTGGTGCAAAACAGCAGAAACTACTCCTTACCATCTGACCGGGATGTGGCACAGGGCTAGGCATGCCGCCGTACTGCAGTGGCCGAGGGAAACCTCGCCCGTTGGAAGGGCCCACTTCCCGAGGAGGCTGCATTGGGTTGCCACTTGGATCCTCTGCAGAGGAGGAGGAGAAGGAGGAGGAGGAAGAGGAAGACGAGGAGGAAGCAGGAGCCCTGGAAGTAGCTCGATACGGCGGGGGTTTCCCTCCATTTTCCAGGCGTTGCTGCCTCTTGCCTGGTCCCTCTGAGTCTCGTGACCGAGTCCAAACGCTGCCAGTGCTAGAGCGGCCAGTTCTCCGGCTCCTCTTCTCCCGCCTCCCATCCTCTCTGATCCAAAACTCCTCATCTGTGTCTCCATCTTCCCCAGGGAAGTGTTTCATCATTGCTCGGTGGAAACATCTCTCCAAGTTGTAAGCCATCTTCGTATACTCTGCAGTCAAAAAAAACCCAGCAATATCAGGGACAGAGCCTTACAGAGAGGAACAATTACACTACATCAGACTTTCCTTATTTCTAATGGTCTACGTTCTGATAAAATATCTTCCGCTCCTACAAATTTATTTGAGGAAGGCTTTTGTTCATAACTAGTCCACTTTCACTTATGTTCTTAAGCTCAATAAGCAACACAGCATCAGATCTGGTCAGTAACGCCACGGGAGGAGAGGCGCATAGGCATGACAAAATAGCATTACTGGCCTGATTTGCACAGTCAGCGTTAACCTAGTGTTCCAGAATAGTGCCAAGATGTACACTATGACAAACACCACCTCTGTTTGCAGGGATGCATGACCCGCACAGTTAGCCAGCAGAGAGCTGGGAGAAGAAATGTTAATTTCCAGCAATGCTATTTGATTACAGTCAGGGGCTTTTCTTGAACTGCTTCAAACCTCCACTGTATGCTACAGAATGGAAACATCAACAAAGAGATTTCTCTATGTACAGTTTCTAAAGCACTTGCTGAACTTGACACAAAAGCTAGTACCAATACCAGTGCCCCCAATGTGTCATTTCCACAGGACTGTTCTGCTCAGAGAGGCTCACACCTTTCACTGAAGTGGACAGGATGGAAAAGACAGGTGAGAGGCATTAATGACAAGGGCTTGAAGCAAATTTGTTGTTTCCACTGAACTAACTCAGAAGATCCTCAAAGAACAGAGCTCTCCCTGTGGCAGTGCTGGAATGCTTTTGCTTGGGGCCCACACTGAGAAGCTGGGTTGCTCTAACTACCTTTCCTTTCAGGATGGTGCTGGTGAGATACAGCCTGCAGTGATGACCCACCATCTGGGAATTGATTTCTTACCTAAGCAATATGCAAAATTTTAATTGGTATAGCAATTAAATCAGCGTTTCCCATTAACAGACTCATGCTGTTCATCCAATAGCCAAGGAAACTAAACCCCACGTTTTCCATCCAAATGGCTACATGCCTGGTGCATTCCTCACTTTTTTTGCGGTATTCAAAAAAATTGGGGCTAACCAGACTCCTATGCTCCACAAAGTCTGTGTTACTCGGATATTATGAGACAAAGGAGCGCACAGACACACGAAAGCACACAAAGGAACAAGCTCACAAAGGAACAGACTTCCCTCTCTTTGCACCTTCTGCCTTCACCACCTATCACCATGGGGGTCCACTAACATGCCAGGCCCCAATTCGGCATGACAACTGTACTAAAAACCTGGCTGAAACCCCAGGTCTTATTAACTAAGGAGCTTCTATTCTCTCCTCCTGCCTCCCACAAATACCCTGAAAGAGAATAAGCACAAGTCAAGTACTGGTGAGTAGTGCTCACTTTCAGTCAGCACTGCAAACAGATGAACTTATCATCTTAGCACTCTTACCACTGCCTTCACCATTGTACTTTAGACAGTTCCTGAACATGGTCTTCATATCGCCCACAAATTCCTCCTTGGTGCAGTACTGACCTCCATTCAACTTCTTCTCCATGCTGGAGATGTCCATGGGGGCCTGAAACACAATAAAAACTCTTTTCAGTTACAGCAAGAGTAGAGCTGCTCATAAAGTTGCATATATTATTAGCTTCCCCACAGAAAGTGATGGTGAGCAGAGCCTGCTCTCATGATACGCAGCCTCTCACTTTGCATTTCCAAGACTCGTAAGGCCAGAACGTACTACTGGAGTCGTGCAATTTGACTGTGAGGGTAACACAGTCCACAAAACGTCAAAACACTACCCAAACAGCTGCATCCCAGGCAACAAAGAACACCAGCCAAGCTGGCTGGACCACTTCCCCTACCTTAATGATCTGGTAGTAGTTTGGAGCATACGATTCATCGACGGGCTCCAAGAAGGGCCAGGAGTCCTTGTGAGCCTTTACCACATCTAGAACTGGCAGTAACAAAAGAAAGGTGAATTGTTACACACTGATGCCCAGGGAATTATTTTACTTTGAAAGAGTCAGACAAAGCAGAAAGCTGGGGTAGGAGAACTAACCTTTGTACATAGCTGTGAACTCATCATCTAGTTCAAAGCTGTAATGAGAAGTGCAACAGTGAATATGCAGACTTAGGACATTTAAGACATGTCTCTCTTACCTCACCTTCTCTACCACCCCATACAGAGTGCAAATAATGTTAAAAAGGCCTTACCACAAACACTCCTCTAGTGCTGACCAAATGCCAGTGTTTCTCAGCTTGCTCCAACCTCTCTTCTACCTCATTCATTTGAGTGACCACACTCATCTCTGCCCCCACCCGCTACACAGACTTCAGCATATGGGCGTGCTGCATATCCAGCTGCATACTCACAGGTCCTTGGTCCTTCGCTCCTCCCTGGTCGGGGAACTGGGATCCAAGTGGGAAAGCTCTGGGGGAAGCTCCTTCCCCTGTGCCAGCAGCCAGGCCCGCTCTTCACGAAGCTTCCTCCTCCTGGCTCGTTCTGCAGTAGGAAGGGAGACAGCTGAGAAAGTGGTTCAACGCTCCTTGTCAGCAATATCTTGCAGGGAAAAAACTACGGCAGCTCCTGTAACTGTCAAGAACTCCAGTGAAATGCTCTCATCCTTCCAGCAAAAGTAGCAACAGCAAAGAAACAGGAGCTGAGAATACAGTGCACAATAAACATGCCTCTTCACTTTCCCTTGACCTTACCATCAGCAATTTTGGAGCACTACTGTGATACAGCTGCTCCTAGCCAGCTTCCAGACAAATTCCTGCCCATGGTGCGGTACAAAGAGAGACATTCAAGGCATAGGCCTAGGCAGAGATCAGCGGTATGAAAACAGTTGGCTTGTTAAGCTACCGCCCTTCAGCTGCTTGCCTCTACTCCCGCACTGTCAAAAGGGCATAAGCTCTCCTCAGTCAGGTCAACTCAAGGCAGCTGGCTTTGCACTGAAGTGGATGAGGAGCAGTGTGGAGGGAAGGGTGAAGTACTTCTACCAGATGGGTGGAAATGAGTAACTGGGGTCATTAATATTCACTGTCACTATGGTTAGCTTTGGAAAGATTGCTCAGGTGGACCTTCACGGCCAGCAGCCAGAGGGAGCAAGTTGCCACCCCAGAGGGCCACTGGGACAGCTCTGGTTTAAGAGGTGAGAGACGGGAAGAAGCAACGCTAGTATTATAACCCGTGGTTTGCAAACAGACAGCTGGCTAACAGATTGCTTCATAATAGAAAGTTTATGGGCTCTTATGAACCTCATTTCCTTTTTTTATAGGAAATCTGAATTCATTTGAATTGCTAAACACCTGCCATTGTACCAACTTTCTGTTGAAGTAGAATTCTGCAGAAATACAGCTCAAGAGGAGAGATGTCATAAGAGTTATACCCCAGAAAACAGACCCCATCCAGAATAAAAGATAGATGGGGGAAGACTTGGTTGTAACCCTCTAACAGGGGTTACATCTCAGAAGAATGCCAAAGATTCAAGAGGCAATTGGAGGAAGATTATATTAAGGCTCTCTCTTGCTCTGTCAGTCAAAAGCAAGCTGGGGCAGCAAGCTGGGGCAGGGTGGAGAAGGGCAAGAAATCTGGGAATGGGCATCTCCAAAATGTCCCAACCTGTAGGCTTTTATAGGCTTTACTCACACATGAGAGTCACAGCTCACATAAGCTCTCTGCTTCTAAAGGCTTCCACGCTTTTTCTGTAGATACTGAGAGAAACACAGACACTCCTTCCTTGCAGAGGAGTTGACGGCCACACCTTGTGCCCAGCCACAAAGAGAATGGATTTTTATTCTGGGAAGGAGCCAGTGATGTTGCAATAATACACTGACGTGGCCACCAGTAGCACCACTGCAAATCATAGTTTGACTCCACAAATAATTCCTTCCTCCTAAAGCATGCTCTGACAAGATGACAGATATTATTCAGGAATAGCTACAGGGTGGGTATTTCCAGAATGGTCCATGGCCAGATATATCAGACTGGTAAGAGAAAGTCCAAATTTTTCCTTTACAGGACTCTGGGTAGCACTGAAGCTGGGAGAAAAGGACTCACATCTAAGCTGGCTCACAGCATCTCTCAGCATCTACTACAACATTTAATGATGAGAAGTCCAACACAAAACTGCAGCTAGCAGTTATTATTAAGGTCAGTCCAAGCACAATTCAATACTGCATGCTTCTTTGCTAGAATTAGCATCATTTAGACGACACTTTTATAGATTGCTATGTGAGAAGCTGAGAAAAACATGCAGCAACGATTTGGGCAGCAAAAGACAAACCTCATGGCAACAGCAATCAAGTATGACGACGTAGATTTTAGAAAATCAGATGCTCAGCAGGCGTTGATGACTGGGTAAACTGACAGGAACTGGGAAGTGCTACCACGTTACCAAGCTGGAGCTCAGTTAGGATTAATGGCAGGTCCCTCTACCACCGCAAGTAATTAATATGTCATGTTAAGATCACAACTGGCAGAGCTCACTGCCATGTGGGCCTAGGTTGAGCCCTACCCATTAGCTTTTAAAAGCTAACCAAAGCCCTAAAAAGTACCACAAACAGCTGGAAAGTCATACATGTGAGAAGTAATGTTACAGTAGCATTTGGGAAGAGAACTGGAAAACTCTAACCTGCTGTTCTGGTAGAAATCTAGAAAGCTGCTTTATCTCATAAATTCAGGAAAGTACAGATGGGCCCAGCAGGAGGCTCACTACCTGGGGCGTGCACTGGAGTGGGGGGAAGTGAAATCCCAGACTGAAAAGAGGAACATGATCTAAAAACAGACATACAGTCCAAAAGTAAGAAGCAGGTGAAGCGCTGACAAAGTCTTATCAGAGAGCACAAATATTTCACTCTGTGTTTCACATCCCCCCTCTACAGAATGCCTTACAAAATTAATGTTAAACCCAAAAAAGACCACAAAATACAAGAAAAATCTTTGTTACCCTAAAACTTCTATCTGTGGATGTCCAGTTTTAACAAGTCTGAACCTAGTAAAACAAATGACTTCATTTTCAAATCACTCTCTGTCCATCATGAGAACTGCCACCAAAGTAAACACTAATGGAGGATATGTTTGACAACAAGGCAAGATGGTTAAGAAGCCAAAGTTTTACCTGGATAGTTGCTGTTTCTAGGGATGAAAAATACTGCAGTCATTTAACTAAGGAAGCCAGCCATTTCAGTAAACTTTCTAAACAGCTTTTGCACCAGGTTAAAAGCAGATTTCTCTTGACTGAGCCTAAATTGACTGTCGACAAGTTTAAACTAAACTGAAATAAACTGTTCAAACCAAAATAAAAGCATCTCTGCCAAGAACAGCACTAACGTATGCTAAATTGGCTTAGAACAGAATACTCCAGTCCCGTGCCAGTTTTTTGGATGTCTCTGGTGCAGTTGCATCAGATGATGAGGTGACTGTATTTACCCAGAAATGGACATTGCTGATACCAAAACAACACCTGAGCAACTCTGAATACTAGGTTTACCTTTGCAGCTCCTCTGGAACGTTGAGATTAATTTTGTCTATACACATGGAGAGCTAAAGCACAGAGAATATGCAATTTGCCAAGGTGAAACAGATATCTGTAGCAGATCTAGAAGCCAAATAATTCCGAGTTTAAAGCACTCAATTAGCCAGGACTGGCAACCAGAAATAGATGAAGGCCAAGCAAGTAATTGGATTTTCTAAAGGTTAGAAAGGTAAGCAGGTAATAGAAACTGTTCTTAGATAAAATCTATTCTGCTACCAAACATCTGGTAGCAGACTGTGTTGTCTTGGAAAGTTTACGGGGTTTGCACGAACTTCATTTTTTTCTTTTCTGATTCTTTATTCACTTAAGGATTCACAGCACTGAAACCACCACGCGTTACCAGAACAGTTTTCTGAAGACGTTCAGCATTTCCCTGGAACTGCAGCAAGCCAGTCAGCTACTGTGGCAAAAACAGCAGATAAAGGAATCCCTTTATGGGAGGCTGATGGAGACAAGGTGGTCAGGAACAAGCCTGCTCTTTGATACCAGCACCTACAGGTACTGGCTGAATGCCTGGTGTCAGTGTGTCAATATGACATATTAAACACAACAGGAAGGTTTCTTGCGCAACAGCTTAACTTAGCGTTCAATTTCAAAAAAACAAAAACAAGACCAAAGCCTGAAGCTGCCACCTTCCTGTGCTCTAGTTAGCCTGGTCTCCTTATCCCTAGTTCTCTATCCGATGAGGTCAGTAGCACTACGAAAACACTGCTCTTGTGGCTCCTGTACTGTCTCCTTCCCTTTCGCCCCAAAGGGAATCCTTCTTTCCTCGTATATTAGGCCAAAAGGATCAAATGCTATTCAGCATGAGCAAAGCCAACTAAACCTGCACACAGGGAAATCCATGAGGACCCAAGTGGGGCGAGAGAGAAGGTATGGGAGCTGAGGGACAACGTGAATAGCATGAGAAAAATAAAGCTATGGAAAGGGAGAAAACAGATATGATTTGAGGAAGAAGACACAGCTGAAGTGCACACTGCAGAACAGCCACCAACACTGAGGAAGACGGACAAGGGAAAAGAAACGACACTCAGGCCAGCAAGGCCAACTTATCTGACTAAGTCCAAGAAAAGATATTCTCATTAGCATGTCTGGCAGGAGAGGAACACAAATGGCAGATCTTAATTTGAGATCTCAGGCTTGGCTTTGAAGACTCCCACCTCTGGTTCAACACTGGCTGCACGTACCTTCCACTGCTTTGACCTTCTCTTCCATCTCTCTCTTTCTCTCCTCCTTCAGCAGCTGTTCTTGCTCTCTTTTTTGCACTGCTATAAGGATTTGGCGCTCCTCCTCTTCCTCCCTGCGCCTTTGCTTCTCCATCGAATTGAGCACATTTGGGTTTACCTGTAACAAAAAGGTGCACAAAGAACTGTAATGCTTTGGCTTACTGAAGTCTGAGCAGAGGCACGGTTACTTTGAAGATGTATTAAAACATAGCTACAATGAATGGCTGAAAAAAGAAAAAAGACTTGTACATATGAGTTCTCAGATGAAAAAGCAACATGTAAAGGAAAATTATTTGTGAAGCTGTGAAACCCTATTGATCCAGGGACAAAAGAAGGAGAACTGATTAGTTAGACAAACTGCCACCCTGCCAGGAACGTACCATGTGGATTTTCCTTCCGGGTAAAGGAACCTGGAGGTTGACACTCCTGTACAACCCCTATATGCCTTCCAGCCACTTGAGTCCTGAGTGTTGACAAGAAAGGACTACCCTGCCAAACCTGGCTCGGCTATAAAACACAGAGCACTTAGGATAGGAAAAGAGACTGGTACAGCCTTAAGTCAAGGTATCATTTGGAGTGTTTTCTTTTCCTATTCAAAATAAGGCCTACCATATTTTCATGTTCTAATCTCTCCTGAACTGGCTCTTGCTCCTTTGTTTGGAGGGTTTTCCTGCTGGGTCCCCTGACCCGTCTTCTCCTTCCAGTATGCCTGGTTCTTTATTGCCCCACTTCCTTACCTCCCTACCGCCAGCAGTCTGTAAGTGTGTGTTTGATCCCACTTAGACCGCAGACTTCCCAGACCAGGAATCGCCTGCTCCTATTTCTCCAATAAATTGCAAGGTATGTATATGGTACTGTGGAATTACCTTTATTAGCTTAATTTAATTATAAGACAAATGAATCAGTCATTTGTCAGCCACTCCCACCTCTTTGACTTCTGCAAGATCAAGGTATGTGTGCATCTTATCAGCAGGGAATATCGACCAGAAAAGAACAATGTGTCTATAGTTTTCTCCACCTCCATTTTCAGGGAATAACCAGCAACCACCACTTAGGCAAAAGGCATTTCCTGAGGATTAGCAATCAGCTGGGGTCCCTTGGCTGCTGCTTAGACCATCAACTTCCCCAGGCCCGTTATTAATCCCCAGAAAAAATCTGGCATCACGATTACTATTTCGTCCTTGTTTCATTGCCTAGGAGTGGAACCTCAGGGTGTTTTGATAAACGCCCAGAAATGTTGTCTGGTTTTACAGTACGTTCACTCCCCCTCCGCCTCCCCTTCTCCCCCACAGCACTGCCCATTTCCTACCACAGCTCTCCAGGGACCAACACCACGTATCATCTGCCTGCCTCCAGCAGCAACAATACGTTAGGAGAATTATTCTTCAACCACCAACAGGTACAGAGAAGAGCCCAAGAGAGCTATGGGATTCTTCACAACACTAGGACCATATCTTGCACTTAGGGACGGACCGGGCTGCAGAAACACCTATTTTGCATTCACCTTTCTAGGCAAACCCATAGCATGATCTCACCACAAGGAAACTCTGCCTATGCTCTTTTCCTTTTTAAATCTTTGCCAAATATTAGTACTTCACACTTCCACTGCTTCCCTAGGTTAACCATTCTGGGAGTCCACACTCCTCTAGGTCAGTCAGCTTCTCCTCACCTTCGGTCTAAAGTTAATTTTCTTCCCCTCATTCCATCCAATTATTCCTAGTTACGCTCTTCTGGGCCACCATAAATTCTCCTCCTCTTCAGTCACATTCCAGTGTTTACGGGCTTCCTCAGACACTTAAACAAAACTCCCGTGTTTGTGTAATTAGGCTAAATGTTTCCTTATAAAGCGATCCTTCCAGCTCCCTAATCATTCAGTTGCCTTTCTCAGGTCTTGCCTCCAACTGATCAATATCCAAATACCAGGATGCGCAGGACTGAAAACAAGTATGCCAAGTACAAGAGGTCAAGAGCTTACAGAACTGGATTGTACATTTTTGGTTTTGATTCCTTCAATATCCCTTTCTCATTTTGCTCTACCATCCTACTTTCTACTCAGGCACTCCAGACATCATCCTTTCAGGCCTGACTCTGACCATCAGGCAGTTTTCCCCAACTTTCTTGTCCAACCTTTAAATTACAATAGGAACCAAAAAATGTTAGGTTCTACAGCAAGTAGGAAGAGGAAAAGGTAAGCAGGAACCAGCCATCAGAAGTTGGCATATCACAGATTTTATTTATGATGTGACCATCAGCCTTTCAACTCTCCAGGCAGTAGATCTAAGCCAGACTGTGCTGCCACACTATTTTCTGCAAACGTTGGGGCGCCGGTAAGACCTGTTTTCTTGGTTCATACAACCTCCACCGTTCACAGCCTAAGGAAACGTGAACGCAACATCCAAGTGTCAGTGCTCGCTCCAGGAGCTCTCCAAGCCTACTGGGTGCACTGAAATGGGATAATAGAGAACCCAGGGCATGTCCCAAATCAATTCACCACACATAGAGCAGTGACAGAGCAATGAGACAGCTCTAAAGCAAAGGAGAGACAGTCATCCTAGCACATCTAGCAAGAGAAGAACATGAAAAAAAGAAACCACATTCTCAGTGTATGCCCACGACAGAACTGCATTTGCTCCCTGCAGCACTTGCAGGGCAGTGCTGGGATGATTCTTCAAGACACTCAAGATGCAGAAATGGCCTGATGTGCAGAGCGATCTAGTGCCTGCTGTCTCCCCTGAAGCCCACGGGAGGTGAGGGTGCTCATCTCAGGGTTAAAAAAGAAAAGCAACAGAAATAAGGAAAACCAGACAGTATCAACCCCTACTAAACGTGCCTGAAGCAGACTCCTGCCAGAATGACAAAAGCAAAAAGCAAACACAAGTAAAACTTCCTTCCTGAATCAAGAGCTGGCAAAGGAACCTTTCTCCAGCTTCTCCCCGCTGGCACAAAAGAACCCCCTCGCATCTGCGACATCACCGCCTCCTTCCCTCCGCCAGAGAGCACTCCAGGACACAACATCGCTGCCCCCCTGCCAACCCCAAAAGGGCCAAATTTCTCCTTTTGTTTTGCACTTTAGACACTGGGTATCAAACTTCAGGAGCAAAAGGGGCAGCCAGGCGCCTCAGCCCTCTCTGGCCACGCATCCCCGGCCCCTCGCCCTCCAAGCCATTCCCCACTCCAGTTTCCGCAGCACTGCCCTAATGAGGGTGCTGCTCAGGCGGCTCTTTAATGAGGAGCTAATCTGAACCACCTGTTGAGAAATCCCTGGCAGGATTAGGAGCCTACGGAGCAGTTACATCTTGGACCGAAGCGGCATCCAACTCACGGAGCCGGCAGGAAGGGGTCACCCCTGCACCAGACTGAGGCTTTTTTCTCCCTGAAACTTGCCTGCTGCTCACTCAGCAAACAAGCCATCAGACATGCTGGCACCTTCTCCTGCTCCCCCGTGGCACTTTGACTGCCGCGTCCTGCTGGGTAGCCCGCGCGCGCGTCCGGAGATTCGCCGCCCTCTCGCTTGCTGGCACCCCAGCACAGCAGGCGCTGGGAGGGCCCCGCGCTTGCTGGAAACGTTTCACCAGCCCACAGGCAGCAATTAGCAGCCCTCTGCCGCAGCAGACCTGGAGCACCTGCGGTACTGATTAGCATCATTCAGGCTCCATGTGTTTCCCACTCCCCTCGTCCTCAGGGACTTCTACAGCCTGTGAACAAACACGTGTGCCCTCACCTCCTGGATGGTGGGCTTTGCAGAGAGCAGCTTTGGCCCCACACTGACCATTGCTGGGGTCTTATTTTCCTCTCTGCAGGCTTTTATCTGCAGCATGATGAGAGGCTCTTCCTTCCTTTTATTTACCTATTCTAAGTAATGATATTTATCACGGGGAACTGCGTTTTCTCCTTTGTTTTGCAGAAAACTCTGACCCTGGCTCACATGGGATATTCCCTGCAGTTTAATTTTCCAGGGTTTGGCAGCATTCTGGGACAAAGCACCAGCTAACTATTGTTTTGATTACACCTACAGTGAGAGATTATGCCATGGCCAATTTTTTTTTCCTCCAAAGCTAATCCTGTGTTGCCCAATGAATTTCTTTTGGTAGCAGTTGTCTGCTCAATGACTTGCCCCTGTCTGCCCCATACCATGTCCCTAGCTATGCCAACGTGACGGTTGGGGGCTGCGTGGTGAGCTGGACAGGAAGACTGATCAATGTTAAAAATAACTCCAACCAAAGGAAAAAGTTATATTTAACTCCAGTCATTTTCCTGGGTCTAGTTCACTGCACAGACCCTCCAGCAACAGTGCCATTACACTGATGGGGGAGGGAGGAAGTGAGGGTGAAGAGGCAGGGAAAGCGGTGTTTTATGCGGGAGGGAGGAAGTGAGGGTGAAGAGGCAGGGAAAGAGCTGTTTTAGCTGGCAGTACTGCCGTTTGATAAGCATTTCTTTAGGCAGCCTAAATTGTGCCTTCTATTCCCATCTGATCCCCTCCTAATTCAGCTCTGTGCTGCATCAAGTCATTCTTCTCTCTCTCTCTCCCTCCACACTGTCTACGCCCTCATGTGTTTGCAGCCTCACGTTTTCCCCTTGGCTGAATTTCTGTCATTTCCCTTTGTAAGCCAGTTCTTCTAGCTCTCTCATCCTTCTTCAACTTTTCTTTGAACTGCCTCAAATGTGCCAGCACTTTCATTGAAGTGGAATTCCCCAGACTGAGCACAGATTTCCATATGCAGCTGCACCAGAGTTTGCGGCAAGGCCTGTTACCTCTGCGATCCAGAGGGCAGCACCTCCCTGCTCGCCATAGAAACCCTGAGTGTCAGGCTGGATTTGACGGGCATTACCACCCATCTCTCTTTCAGCACAAGCACTTTCAAATGACTCCTTCCCACTGAATAGCGATGCTGCGGTTTATTTTTTCCCCCAGGAGGCATCTGCTCTCGCCTCCCTCCGTTGTCCTCCCCCTCACACCCCCCCTCACCTCCTGCTTGATTGGTTTGATGGGATGATGGTCAGACATCCACCTGGGAGAAAACTCTGTCCGCTGCAGACGCTTCTCCTGAAACAGGGTTGAGAGTTGAGGGAAGGAAAAAGAAGAGTGGATGAAATTAGGGCACATTGGTGATACTGGCGGAAGAAACTCTGGGGTCTAGAAGTGACCATGAAATCCCTAATAGCTTTACAAGGGCAGCAAACAAACAAACTGAACTCGATCCAAGAACGTCACGCTGCCTGCAGAGCCCATTCATTATACAAAGCCATCTAGCAGGAGGATCCCATTCCAAAGCTGTCCCACCTTAAAATATGCATTTGACAGGCAATATCCCTAGGAGTCTAAGGACCCTGACTTACCATCTCAAGCAGACTTAGCTAGGACAGCTGAAGCAGCAACTGCCCCTTCAGCAGAGCCAGCTGAGAAACTGCAGTTAAAGTGAAATCACTGGCAGTTTGCATGGAAAAGCTAGGCTGTAAATCGCAGCAGTTCAAGAGCAGATAGAGGTTCCCTGCTAGCAGAAGAGGGAAAAGAACAGAGCTGAAGACAGTAACCCCTTCAGCCTTCCTACTTACGCTGCCTTGCAATCATGAACCAGATCCTTACGTATTGACTCAAGCCCTATCACTCCATGACAGGGGAGTCTTTCTCCCCATACGTAATACTTAAGAGCCCCTGTATCCACGGCACTTGCAGGCTGGAGTGGGGAGCAGGGTGGGGTGAGGGCTGCCTGGATTTAGCGCTCCTTCAATCAGCAAACGTCCACGCTCTTGGAAGCAGTCAGACAGAGGTAAACAGGATGTCACATCTCCTCACCTTCTGTGCAATCATGTTGCAGATCTCCGGCAGGAAGTCTTCACTCAAGAGTTTGTAGAGTTGCCGCTCTCTAAGGGAAGTCCTCTCTCTGAAGCTTTCTGTGACCTGCCTCCACTCCTCTTCCGTCTGACACAGCAGCCACCATGTCCCACGGCCTGGCCCTTGGGACCCTTCAACAACACGAAAGGATGTTATCTCCATGACATTTATGACTAACAACTTTTCTCTATCCCTTCTCTTCTCCTATCATCATGGCTTGGGAAAAGAAAAAGATACTGCCAGTGGTCACTGTATGGAGAACACGCTCACTGAGGGAAAGCACTGTCAGTGCACAGAAGAGGAAAAATTGCATTGCCCTAGACCCAAAGCTCTCTTGATCCAACAGAAGTTTTGTTACCTCCCCTAGTGACACTGAAAGAGATGCCGAGGCACAGAGCAATTACATAGGCAAAAAAGTAACCGTGGCACTTTGCAACATGTGGGTAGTGTGACACGCCTATAGTAATCCTTCATCCCAGTTTTGGCTTTCCATCACTTTGCGTGATCAAAGGGTACCAGAGAAAAGGATTTAATTTGTTCCTTGTAATGGGGGCTGTCAGCCAAAGCAGGACGTAGGGTAATGCAAATGTCTGATTATTTCAGTCTGGCAGCAGAATAAAAACATTGAAAATAAATGTTATTTTGAAATAAGCCCAATTTTTAGCACTGCAAACCTTTACTGTGGTGAATAAAACCTGCCATTCTACCCGAATGAAACATTTCTTTTGCAGGTACTTGAAAGAAAAGAAGAGGAAGTAAAGCACTGGGTTCATCGGGCTGCCAGATGAGGGGGAAGTTCCACAAGTTCACATCCCATCCCTGCTTGATCCAGAGTCGAATGTGAAGCAGATTTCCCACTGCTCCGAAGCATGTCCTAACTATCAAGACATTCTGAGCCGTTCCGCTTTGTGTGGAACATTCGAATATTAATTGTGAAGGGAAGACTCTCCAGCGTGGTGGTTAGAACACCCACCTGGAAAGGGGGAACGTGGTTCCTGCTGCACAAATGTTTACACAGAGCAGAGAAGCCTCATCAGTTGCAACTTGCATGCTTTTGCCCCAGGACAATCTCTCAGCAAAAGCATTATGGCCCACTTTCGGGGAGGGGGAAGATGCTGGTTCAAACCCCTTCAAGCTGAGGGGTTCTCAGCTCCCTCAAGAAAAAGCACGCTAACTACTGGCTAGTGGAAAGAAAGAAATGATCCCACACCCCACTGGCAGATGTCATGCAGCTTCTGACTGCATTTTCAAACAAATTTGTTATGAAAAATATAAAGAAAAAAAACCCAGAGTCCCCTTCTCTCTCAACCCAACCCTGGGCACTTTGTGGATTTGAGTTGCTGGTGGCTCTCCCATGGGAGCTACCAGATTGCCCCAGTAAGATCTGAAAACTTGCTGCTTCGCTCCAGCCACCTGCCCTCCGTCGGAAACTTCCACGCAGCAGTACTGACGCAGACCAAACATGTGCTAGCCCCAGGTCACAGGCTAGTGTATTAGCTTAACCCACCATCAGCTTCAGTTCAAGTTAATGTACTGGACTGCTAAATGAGATGGCGAAGGACCAGCCACGCATTTATTTCTGTCACCCTGGCCACGCTCCTTTGGCAGAAGGAGGCAGAAGACAGCTGGGGGCTGTAACACCTCAAGCTACGGGAGCTAAATCTGTGGTGGAAAGCTTACCTGCACACCACCCCTAGAATCTGCCCCCTCTTTTTCCCTTCCCTTGCCAGCTGCCTATGGCTGACTCGTTTCAAAAGCAACCAGGACTAAAGCGCTCCTTTATGCCACCAGAAGATTACTCCACAGCTGAAGTGACAATTTACTAGAAAACAACGATCTGATAAAACCCACAGTGTTTCACGTGTGCAGCTTCAGCTCTGCCTCCTAACTATGGGGCAGCAGCCAGGAAATCTGAACACAAAGGAAGAAGAGAACGAGGCATGGGAAAGACAATGCCCCAGTTGCCTTTTATTGTGGTGGAATGGGCAGGCTGAGCCCATGAGTTATGTGGAAGCCAATGGATTCTCATGTATGACAGATGAGTCCCAGCCCCCTCAGACTCAGTTTCACCTTATGTTGCCAACTCTCCTTTTCTGCTTGCCTCATTAACCCTTAGGTGGGTAACCCCAGGTCATCATCTACAAAGGACTGAGTCTAGCCATCCAACAGCCACTGAGAGAGAGAGAGGTGAGGAGAGTCAAAGGGCTCTTCCCTACCTGGGCATCACTAATCCTACTCTCTCTTCCCAGTCCATTTGGTACGAAAGAAAAAATGCTCCCACTACAAACAGGGCCTGTATTCACCTCATCGCCAGAGAAGCGAGGACCACTCATTTCTATGAACTTTAGTGAGTAGGTGGGCCCCTAAAGCCTAGTGTAACCCAATACATTGCGTTTCTTCATCCCAAACTAATCCACGATAAGATAGGAAGCATGTAGGTGCCCAGGCTCCCAGTTGTAAAGCAGCCTGTAATGCTAACCCCTCCTTCCAACCTCAGCTGGAACCACTAACAGAAAGACTCTCCCTTTCCTGAGAAACGCATCTCTCTAGGCTTTGACAATTTAAGAGCTGTGTTAGCTGATCGTATCAACCCTGACCCCACAAAACCTCTTTACCATTTCTTATCTGCGTCTCACGGATTAGCAAGTTCTCTTCTGCCTTCTCTCTACCAAAAAGAAAGAGAGGGAGTGATATAATCAATACATTACTTAACATCACTGAAATGCAGCCATTTCTGGGTAGAAGTATGAGGAACACAGAAATTATTTGATGCACAGCAAAAACATAAAAAAATCAGTGTGCAGAGCATACACATACAATATATGCATCATAGCTTCATCTCATTTAAAAAATGAAGTAGGTAGATTGCAAGGATAAACAAACTAGGATTTGGCAAGGATAGCATTTCAATTCTTATGGGAAGTACCCCAAAATCTAACCTGACACAAGCGGCCAGGATTTTGGCTTCAAGTACTAAACAGTGAAAGCCGCCTTTATCAGCACCATATTCCCTAGCACTGCATGGAGGATCTGCATCAGAAATCAGGCAGTGGGAAGAGTGATATCCACTGTTTCACCAAACTTGGCTTCCAGCTCAGTCAGAATTTTATTTGGAGGGTGATCAAAGCACCTACCAAGTCTGAGCTTACTTAATTTCAGAGATACACTGAAATTATGGCTGCATGATATATACATACTTATTGGGGGAACCCCAGAAATACATTGTATTATTAAAGGCAGGAAATATCAGAGAGACGTCTCTCTGGGAACATGTGCATTCTACAGCTATTGCAGGAACATCCTTTCCATACCTCAGCAGATTTTCCTCCAGCAGTTTTTTCCGCTTTGGGGGTCGCCCTCGTCTCTTGCCTGTTTTTCCAGGGACATTTGGGGTGTTTGTCTGCCCCCCACATCCCCTGCAAAACAGCAAAACCACCATGGAATAAATTATTTGCTGAGCAAGGGAACCATGGCTGGCAGGAAGAGAGAAGGGTAGGGGAACTGAAACAGCTGCTAGGAACTAAACCAAAGGAGGGATTAAATCAGAGCAGCAACAGGATATGGAGGGAGGGAGGAAGGGAGGGAAGGAAAAGCGGGATTCCCACTTGCTGGGAGCCTGATCGGGGAGCTGCCGGCACGGTGCATGGCAGACAGCTAGGAATGTGGTGAGGCAGGCAGCATCGTTTCCACAGCAGGTTCTCGTGGTGCCACAAAGGCTGCAGACTGGATCTAACACAATGCACAACGCGGGGCAGCTAGCAGTCTGCTTGGCAACTCCAGTCTCGCCTTGCGCCGACACAACCCTCTCCCAGCCCTCCCTTCGCAGCCACACGCTCCCCTCTGTGACAACAGCAGTCAGGCTGAGAGCCCCTTCCAGTCAGCCTGGCTGCACCGGCCCCCCTTCTCCCCATGCACCCAGACATGGGGGAAGTGTGGGGTCTTGAGGGGGCTGTTACCTGTCTGGAGCCAGTTCTCCGTTGGGTTTCGCCTGCACCGGATCCTCTTTGTACATTCGTGTGCCATAGAAGTACCAGTACAGCGCACCACTGCTGTCCTCGCCCAGTGGCTCCACGCGGAGGCTGTCGGCGTCCAAGCCCTGCATCCCTGGGGAGCGCCCAGCCAGACAGTGACAAGTTGAAAAGCAGCCACATTGTCACACAAAACATGTTGACACCCCTCCACAAACACCTCCCTCCCTCCCACCATGCCATAACAGCAGTACAGCTGCTCTTCCAGGCCGTTCTGGGAAAAACGTGACTCCAGAGGGAAGACGACATTCGCGCTCAGCCCAGGGAGGGATTTAGATTGGCATCTCTAATTTGAATGGCCTCTCTCGTTTTAACATTTTATCTTTGGTGCTCCTGACAGGGAAGGTCTAATTAGCGCTGGCGACAGTCATGCACAGCCTTGAGAAGTGCGCTGGAAACTCCCTCCCCCCCCCCACCCCTCTTCCCCCAGCTCTCCCAGTATCCTTCAGCCCCATCTTTTCCTCTCACACCATCCCTCAGCCACACAGTCTCTGCTCCTACAGCACTGCCATTACAGTTGGAACATCTCCAAATTCAGTCTTCTCAGGAAGAGTAGCCAATGAAGCCAATTTACTTAGTGACTTTTGTGTTAGAAATACATCTACAGAGGATGAGAGCCCCAAGATCAGTCCTACACACTTGCCTTGGCTCTTCTGCAAGTGAAGGGGTGGGGGACGAGAGGATGAACTGTCAACACGCTGTACTGGCACCAAGTACCTGGCTTTAAAACACCCTTCTCTGGGTGAAACTCATGATGGGGGAAGGTGGCCTGGCTTATCAAAAGCACAAGAAAAGCTCAAAAATCACGAACAACCCCAAACTCTTGGTCTTAACAGAAAGAGCACGGTGAGCTCTAGTCAGCAACACACCAGAAAGGGATCAGGAGAAAAAGATAGAAAAGGGCCACAAGGATACTGGCAAGGCAAGCTTCAATACGCTTCCCAACTGGGCATCGTTGAAGTGCCTCTGACCTGTGACCTAAACCCCACGATGCCCTTGCACCATGCCCAGCCTGTCCACCACATACAGCCCAACCCCGGGAGGGAAATGGGACACTGACTCTCCTCCCTTCCATCCTCTGCAGGAAGATTTCTTTCTTAATCCATCCCAACT